ATAGATCTAGCTTGTAAATAGCGGGGTAGTGTAGAAAGCAAAATTCTTCTGTTTCATCTGGATACATAAGTTCGCACCTCACAAAAGCAAGGCGATTTACGATTGAAACTTTGTCAGCAAACACATAGCAAGTATGATGGAAAAACACATGGATTTGGTAACCGAAAGAAAGCCATTTCCTACTTTCTTCTTAGTAACAGTCGTGCGATCCCCCTTTTGATCGAGTTTTGCATGCTCATTTCTTTTTGTGGTTAACAATCAATGTTAGTGCTTGACCAACAAACTGCGCATATATTGAGTTGTCTTTGTCAGAATGGCGATCATCAAGGGAACGAGTACAATGCTCAAAACGAATGGGATAACGTTATTACAACTGCTACGCCCAAACATGAAGTGGTAGTACAACGACCCTACGTTACGACAACACCCAAACCACCACTAAGAGCAACAGAGAAAACAACAACAGAAGCAGCCCTCACTACAAATGAGGAAGAAGAAGAGGATTATGGTGATTCTGGGGATGGAAATATGAATGAAGATACGACAACAATGGTTTATACAAGTGCGCCTGATGAGATGTGAGCCAAAGCTAATCTGATCTGACGCAGCAACAATGAAGTGATTTTAGATCTGGTTTTTTAAAAGGCTTTCTCAGCGAAATCGAGAAAACAGTGCCGTAAGTGAGTACTCAAATGGTTAGAACAATCTCATGAATATTTAGGATTCGATTGCTACTTGTTATTGGGGGCGGAATTGTAGGCGTCATTGTACTCTGCTGCATCATCTTTATCGCCCGCCATAGTAGGAAAAAGCCAAAAGAAAAAAGAAGGAAAAGAAAAGCAAGGAAAGGAGCTCGACCGCATGAGTCTGCAAGCGCAAAGGTTCTTCATGCTGAAAAAGGCACCTGTACTAAGGAATATTCTTTCAGTCATCCACGGCCTCCTCCGCAAGTGCTCCTGTGCCAAAAAAGATGGAAGCAGAAAAGATCAACATGATGGAGTTCTCTCATAAAGGAGCGTTAGTCATGCAAGACGTGAAAGGTGAAGTGGTAAGTCTAAGCAGTCATGCATAAGTTGCATAATAGTGCATAAGTTTCTATAATATAATACAGAAGCATGCCTTGGATGATGTCAAATCGGGAGAAATAGTCAGAGTTCAGTACGATACTGGGCAGAATGAGATAGTGACCATAGGATCAGATGTGGATATCATCAAGGTCAGTAATTTCGAAAGTGCGAGCAAGAGATGTGATAGCTGTAAACTGTTGCGTTAGGGATTGTTTGTCCATGGCCTGCTTTTTTGCAACTTTCTATTTTCTTTTGAAGTATTTTTTCCATTGTAAGCGTCACCTTGGCGGATTTTCCTGCTTTTT